CTAAGGTGTCTCAAGCACTGTTTGCAAAGGTTGCGGCAACCAAAAGCCAGGTAAAGTTCCCAGGGCGCAACGGCCTCCCTGTCCTGTGTGATTATTCCCCCCGACTCTGGTTTTGATCTGTTTCTGTGTGTGTCGCAGCGAGCGGATGGGTTAGCACACCAGCCGGGTACCACAACTCGGAGCTCCTTGCTGAGTCCAAAGGTAACCTCTGGTTACCCTTGACCAGGCAGGGTTGAGAAGAGCCTTCCCGAGGCGCATCCCTCCCTCTTCCCTGCCAGTGCGATGCCTTCGCTGTGCGCCCATGGGTCTTGCGCGGCTCAGAAAGCATCAGGTTCGTGAGTTCTTAGCTGGCGTCGACGTGGCAAAAGCTGTGGGCGAGTTCTATGCATTGCTGCTGAATTCGTCTCGAGGCTTCGGTGTTTTGCAGTTACACGTGCTGTAACGAGGAACGCTGGGGTTCTGGTTTTTGCAAAAATATTTAGTCAGACCTACTGGTGGAGCTGGGCTTGGGAGGTGAGGCAGCACTGTCCACATCAAAAACAAACAAAAAAACCCCCAACAAATCACGGTTATACAAGTTACATCTGAGAAAACATTTATGATATTTGTGGAATACAATGGCTGCTAGGTTACGTGCGGGTATGCTTACATATATATTGCATATTCAGTTTTAAGCCTTTGTTGTGTGGTTTCCTATTCTGTTTTCTTCAACTGAAGAATTTCTGTCAAGTTAGTGGCAAGAGAGGGAAGTCAGCAAGCACCTGTTGGGTGTGATGATCATAAGTGACATGTCTTCTGAGAAAGATCACCTGAGTATGCAAAAGCATTGATTTAAGCGAGAATGTACTCAAGAAGTAAGTAAAGTAAAAACATATATGGGAAAAATGGGAAACACTGGAACCACAGTTATACCAACTCTTGAAAGAAATGGTAAAGGCACCAATGCTTGCAATGTTGAAATTTCATGTTAGATTGAATGTTAAGTCCACGTAGTCGCTATTACTTTACTTTTCCAAAATTGCTTCACAGAAAAATATAGCATCTTCCAGGGAGAGCTGATTGTAATCCATTAGACCAATGTTTCTTGGGCCATCAGCATTTTAGTTCTGGTTTTCTTTTTAACAGTCTTTAACTTTTGACTTCTGTGTTGTTCATGTTTTGGAGTGTACTCCATGTCATTGTACGGAAAGGATGTTGTCTCTTAAGTTATACGCTGTAAGGAGCATTTAAAGGGGTATTTTGGAAATGTTATATCAAAATGATTAAACTCAAGCTGTGGACTGTAAAAATTACAGCTTTATAGGCCACATGCCTGCCTACCCTTCAATCACTGTCAAAGTGATAATTTCTACAATAATATGTTTCTTTTATTGTGGGATTCTAAACACCAAGTGCTGTTTAAACATTAAACTGAATTGTTTATGTTAGTGCTGTACTCAGTGTGTCATACATCAGGCCACTATAATCTCCCATGGAATGTGAAAATTCTGTCATGAATCATGGCTTGTGTATCGGAAATTACTGTAATTTTGATTGGAAATTACAGGGCTCTTGAAATGTTTCTAATTATGATAGAATGTTACAGCAGCTTCCAACCTGTGTGCTCCTCAGATGTCTTTATTTACATGTCAAGACTCGGGGTTAGAGAACTGTCCGTTTTCTACACCTTCCCCTTTCCATTGCAGTTCTCTGCAAAACTAAGGTTTGAAGCCAATCTATCGGTCCACATAATTTTGATCTGATCTGATTTCTGTGATAATGTATTTATTTAAGTGCGTAGTCTTAAAATTTCTAGGTAGGACAGCTCTTCCAATGGTGATCTTAAAAGGGACAGATAATCACAGGGAAACACAAAAGCTTCTAGAAGATGCGGTGCAGTTTTTTTAGAGTGTTGATATAAAATGTAGTTTCTTGTACAAATTTTGCTGCCAAGTATAGAAAACAAATAACGCCAAACACGTAGTTCTTTTCCCTTTTATTGTGGAGATTATGCCCGTATTCTCAGGGGTTATTTTTCTCCCCAGTTTAAACAATGCAATGTTAATTTATGTGTTAAGCAAGAAGTGCCATATGTAGTAGAAAGCTGCTTCACGGAAGTAACCTCTTAGGTAAACTGGATGTGTTGGGTCTTCTCTAACCAGTTGACTGCTAGTCAGCGAATTAATAAGCTTTAAATATGTAGCAAAGTCACCTATATTAAAGGAGATGACTGTATTGTAAAAAATTCTGCATTGGAGCTTGTAAAAAGTACAGAGAAATATTTCTTGGGGCAAAGTAGTCTCCCTTGCACAAAAAAGAGGCTCGTTTAAACATATTCTTTAAGAGAACCTCTCTTGAGAGAGGTCCATTGTTGTTGGTTGAGTTTTTTCTTAATTTCGGCATATTGTTTTCCTGCTCAGAACTGGAAGTCCTGGGATAATCACTTCCAGTTATAGTGAAAAGTCTGGAGGACACATATTAACAAATTATGCCTTGGTTAACAGTTTTGTTTTTAAGATCACTAAAATTGATCATTGCCGTGCTTACTTTGGATATATAAAAACTTGATTAACTCCTGAGTGTAGTCTGGAGTTACGGTATAAAACAGGATGTGACCTCAAACATTTCTGCCAGCAGACAAAGATAGTTGTATAGTTGTTTGCTGGAGGGCCTTTTTATTTATTTTTTTTTAAGGAACTGATTTGGGTCAACGTTAGATTGGGTGTCTAAGCAGCTAGCATCTGCAAGGTGGCTGAGCTTGCCTGAGCCAGGAGACTGTAGATAATGTCCTGCTGACTAGAGCACTTTGTACAGAAGAGCTATTAAATGATGCACTACAGAAGTTTCTATTTAGATAGCGCTGAGGTAAAAACCGAGCATCTTCCCTTGCGCCGTGTTAGTGACAAGAGCTACCTGATGGATGGGGGACTGCATCTGGACCTGATGCTCAAGAAACCAGCTGGCTGCAGGGGCTGGGTTGCAGCACAGGTCATAGCGCAGGGCGAGGAAGGGGTGACAGGAGCGGGAAGACGTTGCAGGGATGTTAGGGAGACCTTGCTCTGGCTTAGGTGAGTGATGATTTGTGTACTTGTCGTTTCACGGTGCGCTTTGCTGGCAGCTTGTTGGCTTTCCTAAAGAAAAGAGGCTGTCTGACTCACGGGTTTGAAGGAGTTTGGGGACTTAGCTAGAAGATTCCTTCAAATGTTGAATTTTTTTCCCATATAGGAATGTGTGCATTCTCTATATTTTAAAAAATTTCTATGTTTTTAAGGATTGATATATTATTTGCAGAATAAATTTAAATTCTGTTAAATTCAAAATATATACATTAAAAGTTACTATGGTTATACTGAGGAGCTAAGGAAGATATTATAATGAAAATTGCTTGAATACATCATATCTTTGGGGAGTTTTGGAATTTTAATTGGCAAAACACCTAACATCAGTATTTAAAATCTAACATTTTTATTGCAAGTTGTCTGCCTAATAGGTCTATGTATTTTTTTGTTAGGTTATGTTGAGAAGAGAGCTTTAGAAACATACATGCAAAGGGAAGACAGAAAGGTTTACCAAGTGCTTTGTGTCTGCTCCCAGGTTGTTGTTTTTTAGTGGTAGAACACCAATACTAATGGTGTCGTTTACTGAATTTAATCAGCACACCTGAATAAGTCAAAATGAGAAGAAGCCACACATACATGAATTTGTGTGGTATGCGTTACTTTTACAATTTCATCACATTGGGTTTTTATTAAATTTATAACCTGACAGTCCTATTCAAGTAATTATGAAAGCAAGTTCTTAATTTTGTTATTTCAAACCAAAAAAAAGTTGATTTGTGTAATGATCATTAAGGCATCATGGTTCAGTAACTGTGCATTGGTTACAATGTTTTCATGTGGGAGCCAGGGATGAGTTTTTTTCATGATGGTGACAGATGCTGAAATCTAATTTTATTCCATACAAACAAACAAACAAACAACCCCAAACCTAAGAGCCCCGAGAGATAAGGCAAGTAGAGACTTGTAGTGCTCCTCTATGTTTGCTGTATTTTGAGAAGTTACATATATGTTAATGGCTTTAGCTGAAGAGCTGCGGCCTGCACGTGCTAGTGTGAAGTAGGGAAGAAAGCAAAGCTTTGCTGAAAGTCAGCTTACGTTGCTAAAGCTTTCTTAAATTTAGGAAATTTGCAAAAACTAAAGTGATACCAACTTCCGTACCTCTGAGAGTCCCATGTGCTACAGCGTGAGGCTGTTAGCCTGCATTGTTATACCTCAATAAGTTTACTTTATGGTAGAATAAATAGGTAAAATCAATACTTTTCTGCAGCATCAATCCTGTCGATTGCTGCGTATGGCCGGGTAGGTGCTGAATGCCCTTCCTCCTCACCCAAAAAAAGCCTGTATGTTGAAGGCAAGATGCTTGGCTCTTCACAGAATCACTTTCTGATTTTAATTCTGGTATAAAACTAATGCAGTACTACCCATACCTCCAGAAACCTCATCTAATTACGGAGAGTTTTGACCCGTTACTTCTGAGCTGTTGCACCGTGTTGCCCAATTTCCTGTCCTCCTGTCCCCGGCTTCACTTTGGTTAGGCAGTTACCCCCTTGGAAATGAGTAGTTTCGTACGCAAAGCGCGGAGGGAAAACCAGTGGTTCAGACCATTGCTAGAGACTGCATCCGAAGCCATCAGGCAAGTATTTTGTGCAGTGGTATTTTATTAGAAGTGTTTGACTTTTTGCCTTAGTATGCGCCTGGGGCGTCCTCCTCCGCAAGGCTGCGTGGGGAGGTGCAGCGGGTAGGCATTAGGCAGAGCATCTAAGGCTCCTGAGTAGATGGGAAGGAGTTAAATGGGAAGGGAGTGCTAAACATTGGCACTAAAACTGCTTTTGGCATGCAAATACCATGCTTTTCCTGACATAAATATTTTCAGAATAGGCCATTAGAGTTCAGGTATATAAAATCCTGCTTTTACTGGAAATTTTAGTGTTGTAGTAAACCCGGAGATTTATAGTGAAAAATTGATGTCTGTTATCTCACTTTTATCTTTTTAACCAGCAGTTTTATAAATGCTATATCTTTGATCTGGCTTTTTCCATCTAGAGACTAAGCTATATACTCTAATAGGAAAGTCATTTTTAAACAGCTTCCCACACTGAACAAGCACGGTATTGTGGATCTGGCACGAAGATGTAACATGCCATTACCGCAGATATAGAACGATCTATTCAAGAATTTTCCAGCGGGGGGGAAAGAAACCTTTTTATCAGCAAAAGTCACCCTCTGGTATCAATGTGGCTTTAATTGGGGGGGTCTTGAAATTTGTTTCCAAAGCTGTTTCCTTGGGGCACCGCACCTCAGGCTGCCCCAGCAGGGTCCAGCCTGGGAGGCAGGCGGGGGCTCGGTCCTTCGCCCGTCACCCCGCGTCTCCGTCGAGTCGTCCCCCGCCTTTGTCTCCCTCAGA